AATGGTTTCTTGGGAAATGGTTTTTGGACCATTTTCCCTTGTTGACATCCTCGACATTGTAGATTGCTCCACCACGACTTGAGGAGACTCCGCAACATCATGATCATGTTGGTCGCGATCATCTTGCGAAGTACTCGACTGGAGCATGACCCATTCTCGCATGTAGATCGGCACAACTGGTTCCACTTGTTGTCACATTCGCTGATCGTTGAGTCGTCGAAGCCAGTAGAGTCCATCCACGAGATCCTCTGTCGCCACCACTTGCTGTGAGTTCTTGAGAGTCACATACATTTTGGATCCGTCAAACACGACTTGAAACTTGCCATGGCTGTTAATCTGTGGCACCGAGAGCAGGTTCTTGCTCATACTTGGAACATATAGCGCGTTCTTGATTTCGATCTCACGCTCTTCACCGTTGGGCAGAACCACCTTTTCTATGATGGTTCCCACACCCTTGATGGCCACCTTGTTGCCATCAGCCACCAAGAGTTCGCCCTCATTGCGCTCTGCCAAACTTGCGAACTTGGTCTTGTCGTGGCAAATGTGGTGCGTTGCACCACTGTCGACGGCCCACATTCCAGACACGTCCTTGCTCGTCGAAACTCCACATTCGAACGATACTGCAAACGCCACTCGATCGTAGCCATTGCCTTCATCATGATGTCCCCACTGGAAATTGTTAGCCCCGCGTTCACGACCATTGCCGCCGCGTCGGGCTCCCCGACCTTCGTTCTTCTGCTTTGTCCAGCAACGACCCACCGTGTGTCCCACCTTGTCACAATACGTGCATTGGTAGGGCTCACGCTCGGCGCTGAATGCCTTGCTTGCATCTTCAGCCTTCACCGTAGTCGCTGTCGTTGTCCCTTTTTCTCCTTGACGCTTGGCATGCTCATTCGTCAGGACTCTCACCACATCTTGAGTGCGAAGCTCGGTGCTGCTCATTTCCATGTTGAGCACCACATTTTCGTAGCTCTTCGGAAGACTGAGTAGCAGACAAATTGCAACGTCTTCGTCTTCCAGCTTCGCACCGATGCCGCTAAGCTTGGCGGAGATGTTGAGGACCTCGTTGCAGTGATGCATGACGTTCGCGCCTTCAACCATCTTGATACTGAAAAGTTGTCGCTTGAGGTAGATGCGTCCTGCCTTCTGCGACCCACCGTACAGCGTCTTCAGACTTGTCTTTGCAACCCAGGCTTCCTCGCAGTTGTTCAGCACATGATGGTAGTACGCGTTCGTGTGCAGCAGCATCATACCAAATGAGACGTTGCTTGCCTTGACGTAGTCATCGGACGCTCGCGGGTCGGTGAAAGTCGGAGTCACTTCACGGTTGACGACGTGCCAGACGGACTTCGTCAAAAACACACCGCGCATGTACCGGCTCCACGTTGCGCAATTGTCTCCGTTGAACTTGTCAATGGAGGCGTTGCTGGTGGACGACATGGCGCTTGGGCTCATAACCTGTTGCATTGTAGATCGGAGCGAGGAAAGCGGAGCGAACGTAGCGGAGAGACCGAAGAGAGTAGAGCAGAAAACACTTGCCCAATAGTTGGAAGATTCGAAAGTGATTGATTATCGGGGATTACTACTTACTTCATTATTTATGTGTGGTGTACATATTAATCATGTGAAGCGTCTCATCATCCTACGCGTCTAATCAACTATGTTAAATAACCGTAAGAATACGTCGTAAATACTAAGCTGAACAGGCGGTTCGGATTGGATCGGTCACGGCTACCAATACCAATAGAAAACCGATAACCGTCAACAGTTGTTCACCAGCTCGATGCCCAATACGAACGCGCACTTGCCGCTGTCAGTCATATCGAAACGCCTCTTCAAGTCACTCTTGGTGCGCACAATCACCTCAGTTGAACTGCCCGTTACCAACACATCATCGACGAGACCAAAAACAGCACGCACTTTCCGCTTGCGACCTTGAGATAGAGGCATGGGTCGAAGTTGGACTGTTGAAATACAATCGAGCAAACAAAGTCATAGAAAGTCTCGTTCCATACCCGCAATGCTTGTTTCAGTCCGTAGATCGCCTTCGCCAATTCGATGCAGTCAAAGTCTTCATCAATGTCGACACCTGCTGGGATCGCGCAGAACACCTTTTTTTCATCTTTCCGTACAAGAAGGCTTTCACCATGTCCAGTTAGTCCAGTGACCATTTGAAGTACTTGGTGCTCGCGATTACTATGCACAGCATCACGTACTTGACCACGGGAGAGAACGTCTCCGTGTAGTCGATGTCATAATTTTGGCGAAAACCCTTGGCCGCAAGTCGTGCTTTGTATTTATCGATCGACCCATCCGCCTTGCGCTTGATCTTGAAGACTCACTTTGTGCCAATGGCGCTTCACCCGATGGGTAACTTGGCCGCACGAAACACACGCGAAGTCGCATTGACTCGAGCTCTGCATTAATTGCCTTGCGCTAGTGCGCTTGGTCCGGGCCAGTCACTGCTTCTCTAAATATCGACGGGCTCAAAGATGCACTGCTGCTTCGACAGCGTTTGCACTTACCTGTTGAAATGCGAAAGAAGTTGGTGTGTCACGTTGCTCGACTGACTTCCTTCATCTTTATTGGCTCGACGTGAAGAGAGGTCATCTGAAGCACTTGCCCCTTCCAATCTGGGTCGTTGGCGCACTGCTCGGGGCATATTTGTATCTTCATCTTTGTGACTGAGTTAGGCCTTGCGCATTCCTATTCATTTTGAAGTATCTAGAAAGCGGATCTTTATCATCAAGATCAAAGGATTCGACGTCCTGTCCATCAACACCGTCATCGGAAATCAGCATAGAAAGTCCAAAGGCTGACTCTTCAAAGTTGACATCACGACTTATCGTCTCCTGCCCCACTTCAATGTCATAAACTCGATAAGCCTTGGACATTTCTTCGTAGCCCAAAATCAACCCAGTACGTGCCTTGGGATTCCGCTTGAGTTGTTTCTCCTTCGGGGTCAAGATGTAAGTGTGGCACCCAAAACCGCGCATGTGCTTGACACTTGACTTGGAATTGTAGACAATCTCGAACGGTGTCTTGTGTAGGATCTTGGGTGACGGCAAATGGTTCTTCACTTAGACTGCCGTCATTGCCGCTTCAGCCTAGAAGCGCTTGTCCATTTTGACATGATGAAGCATGCTGCGACCGATGGTGATGACAGTCCGAGTTGCGCGTTCAGCAGTTCCGTTGGATTGATCAGCGGATGACACCGTGGTTTGCTGCTCGATGCCTTCGACTTCGTAGAAATCTTGAAGCGAGCTTGTCGCAAACTCGCGGGATCCATCGTGTCACACAAACTTGACCTTTATGTTGATCTGCTTTTGGACAATCGTGATGTACCTCTTGATTCACTCCTCACTCTCCGACTTGGCATGCAGACAAAAATCCTCTATGCACCCGCTGGTTTCATCCGCGACAAGCAGCAGATACTTGCTGTCCCTTAAAGATTTGTCTTCCATGGGTCCTCAGGTGTCGAAGTGGAGCATCTCGAAGGTATTGAAGGTGCGCTTGTCACGGTTTCTCGAGAATGGTTTTGAACCATCTTCCCTTCCTGACATCCTCGACACACACTTGGTCCATTCGGTTTGAAATGGATGTAAGCATCTTTAATCATGTTGCTTGTCACCATCTTGCGAAGTACGTCGACTGGAGCATGGCCCATTCGCGCATGAATATCTTCAAATTTCAGCCGCGAAGTAGCATTCACAGATCGTTGTGGTGTGCGAATCCAGTAGGGTCCATTCATAATATCCGCCATCTCCAATGCTTGCTTGGAGTCTTTGTGCGAAATCTTCATCTCACTCTTATCAAACACTACTCAGAACTTGCCGCTTTTGTTAATCTGGGGTACCGACAGTAGGTTCTTGTTCATGGTCGAGACATTAAATGCATCCTCGATTTCGACTTCGCGCTCTTCACCGTTTGGTAGGACCACCTTTTCGACGATAGTCCCAACTCTATTGATCGCAGCCTTGTTTTCGTCTGCAACCAGCACATCACCTTCATTGCGCTCGTCCAGAACTTCAAACTTGGACTTTTCATAGAAGATGTGGTGCGTTGCTGCTGTAAATCGCCCACATTTCCACCATGGTCTTGGCTGTCGAAAGCTCGCATTCCAGCGAAACAGCAAACGCCACTCGATCATGGTCGTAGTGTTTGCCGTTGCCGTTGTAGCCGTGCCATTGGACTTGATTCGCTCCGCGTCCACGAGCCCAATGGCACGGCCCTTGTTGCCGCTGCGTCGATCTCCTCGGTCGTCTTCCCTCTGTTTGGTCCAGCACATTATCACCGTGTGCCCCAATTTTCCGCAGAACGTACATTGACGGAATTTACGCTCGGTGCTGAATGCCTTGGTCGCTTCTTCAGTGTTCACCGATGTCGTCGTGTTTCGTTGTCTCTTGATGTGCTCATTCGTAAGCACTCTCACGACGTCTTGCGACTGCAGTTCTGCGCTGCTCATCTCCAAGTTGAGAACAACGTTCTCATAGCTCTTGGGGAGACTGCGCAACAAACGGATCGCCACGTCTTTGTCCTCCATCTTAGCGCCGATGCTGCTGAACTTAGCGCTGGTGTTGAGAACGTTGTTGCAATGATGCATGAAATTGCCGCCTTCCTCCACATCCACGCTGAACAGCTGTCGCTTCAAGAAGGTCCTTCCCGCCTTCTGAGATCCGCCGTAGAGAGTCTTCAGCCGTGCCCACGCAACCCACGCTTCTTTACACTCATCAACCACGTGATGGTAATCCGCGCTCATGTGAGGCAGCATCAAGCCGATCGCAATGTTGTTCGTCTTGACATACTCGTCACTGGCGCAAGGATCAGCGAACGAGGGTGGTCTCCCGGTTGACCACGTACCACGCCGACTTGGTCAGGAACACGCCGCGCATGTAGCGGCTCCACGTCGCATATTTTTTACCATCGAATTTGTCGATGCAGATCTTGGTGGTGGAATCTTGAGCAGAGGACATTGCGCTTATGCTTATAACCTGATAAAGTCTGAAGAGCACTTGATGAGAGAACCGAAGCTTGAAGAAACGAAAGAAGTCTGCACTGCAAAGTGTAGACGACTTACGACGGAGAAGGAAATATTTGGAAGTGATTTTTTTTGTGGATTTGTTCAAACTACTTGCTTGAAGAAACGAAAGAGGTCTGCAGTGCAAAGTGTAGACGACTTACGAAGGAGAGGAAATCTTTGAAAGTGAATTTATTTCTGGGTTGTTTAAGCTACCTGATTGATCCATGTCCTGATTCATGTATTTTGCACATTTAAATCATAAATCATAGAACATGTAGGTCATCCAATCTTCCTATGCATCTAATCATTGGTAAGCGCTCACCGTAATTACGCGAGACCGACTTGGACAGGTTTACGGTTTACACGGTATCTGATAATAGTACCTTAACCGTCAACCCACGATACGCCCCCTCAATGCGAGCACGCGTGTATGCCAAGCGCTGCCGTCAATTCCCTGTGACGCGGTCCTGGCAGTCCCTTTGTCACGATGTCCGCCATCATCATCGCAGTCTCACCGTACTCCAACGTATCATCACCACGCTTGACTTCATCGCGACTGTGGTGGTACTTGGTGTTGACGTGCTTGGCCCGACCATGGTTCACAGGATTCTTCGTCATCTTGATGCACGATTGATTGTCTTCCATGATCTTGAGCTCGGGTCTGGGCTTGTCCTCTGCGGCATTCAGAATCTCGCATAATAGGCGATGCACCCACTTGCCTTCTTTAATTGCCAGACTTAGCGCGACGTACTCTGCTTCGCTTGTCGATAGCGATACACTTGATTGCTTCTTGCTTTTCCAGCTTATCGGAGCACCCATCAGGATAGACGCACATTCTGAAGTCGACTTGCGGTCTTCATGATCACTGGGCTAGTCTGCATCCGAGTCGCCACATAAATCCACCTTGTTGTCGGGTTTAACGAAGATGCCGTGTGACTTGGTTTCTTGTAGATAACGAAGAATGCGCTTGACTGCCATCCAATGCTCGACTTGGGGTTCTCCGTGGAACGCGAAACGTAGCCCACAACAAAAGCAACGTCCGGTCTTGTCGCGGTCATTAAGTGCATCAAAGCACCTACTGCTTCACGAGACGGAGCGTTGCTCTTGGATGCTGCGTCGCTTGGTGTGAGTCGAGAACTGATATCCGTTGGACTGATGACGGCCTTGCAATCACTCATGCCAAAACGCTTGAGAACATCGTCCACGTATCGTCGCTGACACATTGTCACACTACCGTCGATGTTGTTCACCAGCTCGATGCCCAATACGAACGCGCACTTGCCGCTGTCAGTCATATCGAAACGCCTCTTCAAGTCACTCTTGGTGCGCACAATCACCTCAGTTGAACTGCCCGTTACCAACACATCATCGACGAGACCAAAAACAGCACGCACTTTCCGCTTGCGACCTTGAGATAGAGGCATGGGTCGAAGTCGGACTGTTGAAATACAATCGAGTAAACAAAGTCATAGAAAGTCTCGTTCCATACCCGCAATGCTTGTTTCAGTCCGTAGATCGCCTTCACCAATTCGATGCAGTCAAAGTCTTCATCAATGTCGACACCTGCTGGGATCGCGCAGAACACCTTTTTTTCATCTTTCCGTACAAGAAGGCTTTCACCATGTCCAGTTAGTCCAGTGACCATTTGAAGTACTTGGTGCTCGCGATTACTATGCACAGCATCACGTACTTGACCACGGGCGAGAACGTCTCCGTGTAGTCGATGTCATAATTTTGGCGAAAACCCTTGGCCGCAAGTCGTGCTTTGTATTTATCGATCGACCCATCCGCCTTGCGCTTGATCTTGAAGACTCACTTTGTGCCAATGGCGCTTCACCCGATGGGTAACTTGGCCGCACGAAACACACGCGAAGTCGCATTGACTCGAGCTCTGCATTAATTGCCTTGCGCTAGTGCGCTTGGTCCGGGCCAGTCACTGCTTCTCTAAATATCGACGGGCTCAAAGATGCACTGCTGCTTCGACAGCGTTTGCACTTACCTGTTGAAATGCGAAAGAAGTTGGTGTGTCACGTTGCTCGACTGACTTCCTTCATCTTTATTGGCTCGACGTGAAGAGAGGTCATCTGAAGCACTTGCCCCTTCCAATCTGGGTCGTTGGCGCACTGCTCGGGGCATATTTGTATCGTCATCTTTGTGACTGAGTTAGGCCTTGCGCATTCCTATTCATTTTGAAGTATCTAGAAAGCGGATCTTTATCATCAAGATCAAAGGATTCGACGTCCTGTCCACCAACACCGTCATCGGAAATCAGCATAGAAAGTCCAAAGGCTGACTCTTCAAAGTTGACATCACGACTTATCGTCTCCTGCCCCACTTCAATGTCATAAACTCGATAAGCCTTGGACATTTCTTCGTAGCCCAAAATCAACCCAGTACGTGCCTTGGGATTCCGCTTGAGTTGTTTCTCCTTCGGGGTCAAGATGTAAGTGTGGCACCCAAAACCGCGCATGTGCTTGACACTTGACTTGGAATTGTAGACAATCTCAAACGGTGTCTTGTGTAGGATCTTGGGTGACGGCAAATGGTTCTTCACTTAGACTGCCGTCATTGCCGCTTCAGCCTAGAAGCGCTTGTCCATTTTGACATGATGAAGCATGCTGCGACCGATGGTGATGACAGTCCGAGTTGCGCGTTCAGCAGTTCCGTTGGCTTGATCAGCGGATGACACCGTGGTTTGCTGCTCGATGCCTTCGACTTCGTAGAAATCTTGAAGCGAGCTTGTCGCAAACTCGCGGGATCCATCGTGTCACACAAACTTGACCTTTATGTTGATCTGCTTTTGGACAATCGTGATGTACCTCTTGATTCACTCCTCACTCTCCGACTTGGCATGCAGACAAAAATCCTCTATGCACCCGCTGGTTTCATCCGCGACAAGCAGCAGATACTTGCTGTCCCTTAAAGATTTGTCTTCCATGGGTCCTCAGGTGTCGAAGTGGAGCATCTCGAAGGTATTGAAGGTGCGCTTGTCACGGTTTCTCGAGAATGGTTTTGAACCATCTTCCCTTCCTGACATCCTCGACACACACTCGGTTTGAAAGGGATGTAAGCGTCTTTAATCATGTTGCTTGTCACCATCTTGCGAAGTACGTCGACTGGAGCATGGCCCATTCGCGCATGAATATCTTCAAATTTCAGCCGCGAAGTAGCATTCACAGATCGTTGTGGTGTGCAAATCCAGTAGGGTCCATTCATAATATCCGCCATCTCCAATGCTTGCTTGGAGTCTTTGTGCGAAATCTTCATCTTACTCTTATCAAACACCACTCAGAACTTGCCGCTTTTGTTAATCTGGGGTATCGACAGTAGGTTCTTGTTCATGGTCGAGACATTAAATGCATCCTCGATTTCGACTTCGCGCTCTTCACCGTTTGGTAGGACCACCTTTTCGACGATAGTCCCAACTCTATTGATCGCAGCCTTGTTTTCGTCTGCAACCAGCACATCACCTTCATTGCGCTCGTCCAGAACTTCAAACTTGGACTTTTCATTGAAGATGTGGTGCGTTGCTGCTGTAAATCGCCCACATTTCCACCATGGTCTTGGCTGTCGAAAGCTCGCATTCCAGCGAAACAGCAAACGCCACTCGATCATGGTCGTAGTGTTTGCCGTTGCCGTTGTAGCCGTGCCATTGGACTTGATTCGCTCCACGTCCACGAGCCCAATGGCACGGCCCTTGTTGCCGCTGCGTCGATCTCCTCGGTCATCTTCCCTCTGTTTGGTCCGGCACATTATCACCGTGTGCCCCAATTTTCCGCAGAACGTACATTGACGGAATTTACGCTCGGTGCTGAATGCCTTGGTCGCTTCTTCAGTGTTCACCGATGTCGTCGTGTTTCGTTGTCTCTTGATGTGCTCATTCGTAAGCACTCTCACGACGTCTTGCGACCGCAGTTCTGCGCTGCTCGTCTCCAAGTTGAGAGCAACGTTCTCATAGCTCTTGGGGAGACTGCGCAACAAACGGATCGCCACGTCTTTATCCTCCATCTTAGCGCCGATGCTGCTGAACTTAGCGCTGGTGTTGAGAACGTTGTTGCAATGATGCATGAAATTGCCGCCTTCCTCCACATCCACGCTGAACAGCTGTCGCTTCAAGAAGGTCCGTCCCGCCTTCTGAGATCCGCCGTAGAGAGTCTTCAGCCGTGCCCACTCAACCCACGCTTCTTTACACTCATCAACCACGTGATGGTAATCCGCGCTCATGTGAGGCAGCATCAAGCCGATCGCAATGTAGTTCGTCTTGACATACTCGTCACTGGCGCAAGGATCAGCGAACGAGGGTGGTCTCCCGGTTGACCACGTACCACGTCGGCTTGGTCAGGAATACGCCGCGCATGTAGCGGCTCCACGTCGCATATTTTTTACCATCGAATTTGTCGATGCAGATCTTGGTGGTGGAATCTTGAGCAGAGGACATTGCGCTTATGCTTATAACCTGTTAAAGTCTGAAGAGCACTTGATGAGAGAACCGAAGCTTGAAGAAACGAAAGAAGTCTGCACTGCAAAGTGTAGACGACTTAAGACGGAGAAGGAAATATTTGGAAGTGATTTTTTTTGTGGATTTGTTCAAACTACTTGCTTGAAGAAACGAAAGAGGTCTGCAGTGCAAAGTGTAGACGAATTACGAAGGAGAGGAAATCTTTGGAAGTGAATTTATTTCTGGGTTGTTTAAGCTACCTGATTGATCCGTGTCCTGATTCATGTATTTTGCACATTTAAATCATAAATCATAGAACATGTAGGTCATCCAATCTTCCTATGCGTCTAATCATTGGTAAGCGCTCACCGTAATTACGCGAGACCGACTTGGACAGGTTTACGGTTTACACGGTATCTGATAATAGTACCTTAACCGTCAACCCACGATACGCCCCCTCAATGCGAGCACGCGTGTATGCCAAGCGCTGCCGTCAATTCCCTGTGACGCGGTCCTGGCAGTCCCTTTGTCATGATGTCCGCCATCATCATCGCAGTCTCACCGTACTCCAACGTATCATCACCACGCTTGACTTCATCGCGACTGTGGTGGTACTTGGTGTTGACGTGCTTGGCCCGACCATGGTTCACAGGATTCTTCGTCATCTTGATGCACGATTGATTGTCTTCCATGATCTTGAGCTCGGGTCTGGGCTTGTCCTCTGCGGCATTCAGAATCTCGCATAATAGGCGATGCACCCACTTGCCTTCTTTAATTGCCAGACTTAGCGCGACGTACTCTGCTTCGCTTGTCGATAGCGATACACTTGATTGCTTCTTGCTTTTCCAGCTTATCGGAGCACCCATCAGGATAGACGCACATTCTGAAGTCGACTTGCGGTCTTCATGATCACTGGGCTAGTCTGCATCCGAGTCGCCACATAAATCCACCTTGTTGTCGGTTTAACGAAGATGCCGTGTGACTTGGTTTCTTGTAGATAACGAAGAATGCGCTTGACTGCCATCCAATGCTCGACTTGGGGTTCTCCATGGAACGCGAAACGTAGCCCACAACAAAAGCAACGTCCGGTCTTGTCGCGGTCATTAAGTGCATCAAAGCACCTACTGCTTCACGAGACGGAGCGTTGTTCTTGGATGCTGCGTCGCTTGGTGTGAGTCGAGAACTGATATCCGTTGGACTGATGACGGCCTTGCAATCACTCATGCCAAAACGCTTGAGAACATCGTCCACGTATCGTCGCTGACACATTGTCACACTACCGTCGATGTTGTTCACCAGCTCGATGCCCAATACGAACGCGCACTTGCCGCTGTCAGTCATATCGAAACGCCTCTTCAAGTCACTCTTGGTGCGCACAATCACCTCAGTTGAACTGCCCGTTACCAACACATCATCGACGAGACCAAAAACAGCACGCACTTTCCGCTTGCGACCTTGAGATAGAGGCATGGGTCGAAGTCGGACTGTTGAAATACAATCGAGTAAACAAAGTCATAGAAAGTCTCGTTCCATACCCGCAATGCTTGTTTCAGTCCATAGATCGCCTTCGCCAATTCGATGCAGTCAAAGTCTTCATCAATGTCGACACCTGCTGGGATCGCGCAGAACACCTTTTTTCATATTTCCGTACAAGAAGGCTTTCACCATGTCCAGTTAGTCCAGTGACCATTTGAATTACTTGGTGCTCGCGATTACTATGCACAGCATCACGTACTTGACCACGGGCGAGAACGTCTCCGTGTAGTCGATGCCATACTTTTGGCGAAAACCCTTGGCCACAAGTCGTGCCTTGTATTTCTCGATCGACCCATCCGCCTTGCGCTTGATCTTGAAGACCCACTTTGTGCCGATGGCGCTTTGTCCGTTGGGTAACTTGGCCGCACGAAAGACACCGCGAAGCTTCATCGAATCGAGCTCCGCATCAATTGCCTTGCGCCAGTGTACTTGGTCCGGGCCAGACACTGCTTCTTCAAATGTCGACGGCTCCGAAAAATCGACCGCTGCTTCGACGGCGTTTGCACTCGCATGCCAAAACGCGGAGGAAGTCGGTGTATCATGTTGTTCCTCCGACTTCCTTTCTTCATCTTCGTTGGCTCGACGTGAAGAGAGGTCATCCGGCGCACTTGACTCTTCCAATCCGGGTCGTTGGCGCACTGCTCGGGGCATGCTTGTGTCGTCATTGTCGTGACTGGGTTGGGCCTTGCGCTTTCCTGTTTGTTTGAAGTGTCTCGGACGCGGTTCTTCATCATCAAGATCGATCGATTCGAAGTCCAGGCCATCAACATCGTCATCGGAAATCAGCATCGACAGTCCAAAGGCCGACTCATCGAAGTTGACATCGCGACTTATCATCACCTGCCCCGCTTCGATGTCGTAAACTCGATACGCCTTGGACACTTCTTCGTAGCCCAAAAACAATCCAGCCCGGGCCTTGGGATCCCACTTGAGTCGTTTCTCCTTCGGGGTCAAGATGTAAGTGTGGCACCCAAAAACGCGCATGTGCTTGACACTTGGCTTAGAATTGTAGACAATCTCGAACGGTGTCTTGTGTGGAAACTTGGGTGACGGCAAACGGTTCTTCACATAGACGGCCGTCATTGCCGCTTCAGCCCAGAAGCACTTGTCCAACTTGGCATGATGGAGCATGCTACGACCGATGGTGACGATAGTTCGAATCGCGCGTTCAGCAGTTCCATTGGCTTGATGTGCGTATGGCACCGTGGTTTGTTGCTCGATGCCTTCGACTTCGTAGAAATCTTGAAGCGAGTTCGTCGCAAACTCGCAAGCTCGTCGTGGCGCACAAAACTTGACCTTCTTGCTGAACTGCGTCTGCATCATCGTGATGTACTTCTTGATGCACTCTTCGCTCTCTGACTTGGAATGCAGACAAAAACCCTTCATGCATCCGCTGGCTTCATCCACGATCAGCAGCAGATACTTGCTGCCACCCAGAGATTTTTTCTTCCATGGGTCCGCAGATGTCGAAGTGAAGCATCTCGAAGGTGTTGTAGGTGCGCTTGTCACGGTTGCTCGGGAATGGTTTTTGGACCATCTTCCCTTCTTGGCATCCTCGACACACACTTGATCCATTCGGCTTGGAAGGGATGTGAGCGTCCTTGATCATGTGGCTTGTCACCATCCTGCGAAGCACGTCGACTGGAGCATGGCCCATTCGCGCATGTAGATCAACAGCGTTGCTGAGTGATGTCGCATTGGCCGATCGCTGCGTCGTGCGAAGCCAGTAGGGTCCGTCTACAAGATCCGCAGCTGCCACCACTTGATTGGAATCCTTGCGAGCGACGTACATCGTATCCCCGTCAAACACCACTTGGAAGTTGCCGTGCTTGTTAATCTGCGGCACCGAGAGTAGATTTTTGCTCATACTGGGCACATAGAGCGCGTTCTTGATCTCGATCTCGCGCTCTTCCCCGTTTGGCAGAATCACCTTTTCCACGATGGTCCCCACACCTTTGATGGCCGCCTTGTTGCCATCAGCCACCAGGATCTCGCCATCATTGCCTTCGACCAAGCTTGCAAACTTGAACTTGTCGTGGCAGATGTGATGTGTTGCCCCGCTGTCAACGGCCCACATTCCCGGTCCATTCTTGTTCGTCGAAACTCCGCATTCGAACGAAACTGCAAACGCCACTCGATCGTAGCTGTTGCCTTCATCATAATGTCGCCACTGGACATTGTTTGCCCCGCGTCCACGACCATTGCCGCCGCGTTGGGCTCCTCGACTTTCATACTTTTGCTTCGTCCAGCAACGCTCTGCCGTGTGCCCCACCTTGCCGCAGTATGTGCATTGGTAGGGCTTGCGCTCGGTACTGAATGCCTTTGTCGCATCTTCAGTCTTCACCGTTGTCGTTGCCGTCGTCATCTTCTCGCCTTGTCGCTTGATGTGCTCGTTAGTCAGCACCTTGACCACATCTTGCGTGCGCAGCTCTGCATTGCTCATCTCCAAGTTCAGAACCACGTTCTCGAAACTCTTCGGGAGACTGAGCAGCAAGCAGATCGCAATGTCTTCGTCTTCCATCTTGGCACCGATGCTGCTGAGCTTGGCGCCGATGTTCAAGACTTCGTTGCAATGGTGCAAGACGTTGGCACCTTCCGCCATCTTGATGCTGAACAGCTGGCGCTTGAGGTAGATGCGTCCCGCCTTCTGCGACCCACCATAGAGCATCTTCAACCGCGACCACGCTGTCCATGCTTCTTCACAGTTGTCGACCACATGGTGGTAGTCGGCGTCCATGTGGAGCAACATCAACCCGAACGCGATGTTGCTCGCCTTGACGTACTCGTCGGAAGCTCGCGTGTCGGTGAAGGTTGGAGACGTTTCGCGGTTCACGACGTACCAGACTGACTTCGTCAGAAACACGCCGCGCATGTAGCGACACCAGGTTGAGTAGTTGTCCCCATCGAACTTATCGATGGAGACACTGGCCGAGGTGTTGTTGGACGACATGGCGCTTGGGCTCATAACCTGTTGCAACTTGAGCGCGAGGCGAAGAGAAAACGAAGCGGAGAGACCGGAGAGAACGAAGCAGAGAACACTTGCTCACTTGAGGGAGGATTCGAAAGTGATTGATTTATAGGTCTTAACTTCTGCCTACCCTAGACTGCATCCAATCACATGGTGCATCTGATCAACCTGATTTACACGCGTCCAATCATCCTACGCGTCTAATCATCTCTGAGGTAATTACCGATGTAAAAACTATCTCGTAAGAACTACGCGCTAGGTTCGGATTGTACCGGTAACCCTCAATAACTTGGGGGTTCCCCATGAAGCGCGAAACGTAGCCCACAACAAAAGCAATGTCCGGTCTTGTCGCGGTCATTAAGTGCATCAAAGCACCTACTGCTTCACGAGACGGAGCGTTGTTCTTGGTTGCTGCGTCGCTTGGTGTGAGTCGTGAACTGATATCCGTTGGACTGATGACGGCCTTGCAATCATTCATGCCAAAACGCTTGAGAACATCGTCCACGTATCGTCGCTGACACATTGTCACACTACCGTCGATGTTGTTCACCAGCTCGATGCCCAATACGAACGCGCACTTGCCGCTGTCAGTCATATCGAAACGCCTCTTCAAGTCACTCTTGGTGCGCACAATCACCTCAGTTGAACTGCCCGTTACCAACACATCATCGACGAGACCAACAACAGCACGCACTTTCCGCTTGCGACTCTGAGATAGAGGCATGGGTCGAAGTCGGACTGTTGAAATACAATCGAGCAAACAAAGTCATAGAAAGTCTCGTTCCATACCCGCAATGCTTGTTTCAGTCCGTAGATCGCCTTCGCCAATTCGATGCAGTCAAAGTCTTCATCAATGTCGACACCTGCTGGGATCGCGCAGAACACCTTTTTTCATATTTCCGTACAAGAAGGCTTTCACCATGTCCAGTTAGTCCAGTGACCATTTGAAGTACTTGGTGCTCGCGATTACTATGCACAGCATCACGTACTTGACCACGGGCGAGAACGTCTCCGTGTAGTCGATGTCATAATTTTGGCGAAAACCCTTGGCCGCAAGTCGTGCTTTGTATTTATCGATCGACCCATCCGCCTTGCGCTTGATCTTGAAGACTCACTTTGTGCCAATGGCGCTTCACCCGATGGTTAACTTGGCCGCACGAAACACACGCGAAGTCGCATTGACTCGAGCTCTGCATTAATTGCCTTGCGCTAGTGCGCTTGGTCCGGGCCAGTCACTGCTTCTCTAAATATCGACGGGCTCAAAGATGCACTGCTGCTTCGACAGCGTTTGCACTTACCTGTTGAAATGCGAAAGAAGTTGGTGTGTCACGTTGCTCGACTGACTTCCTTCATCTTTATTGGCTCGACGTGAAGAGAGGTCGTCTGAAGCACTTGCCCCTTCCAATCTGGGTCGTTGGCGCACTGCTCGGGGCATATTTGTATCGTCATCTTTGTGACTGAGTTAGGCCTTGCGCATTCCTATTCATTTTGAAGTATCTAGAAAGCGGATCTTTATCATCAAGATCAAAGGATTCGACGTCCTGTCCACCAACACCGTCATCGGAAACCAGCATAGAAAGTCCAAAGGCTGACTCTTCAAAGTTGACATCACGACTTATCGTCTCCTGCCCCACTTCAATGTCATAAACTCGATAATCCTTGGACATTTCTTCGTAGCCCAAAATCAACCCAGTACGTGCCTTGGGATTCCGCTTGAGTTGTTTCTCCTTCGGGGTCAAGATGTAAGTGTGGCATCCAAAACCGCGCATGTGCTTGACACTTGGCTTGGAATTGTAGACAATCTCGAACGGCGTCTTGTGTGGGATCTTGGGTGACGGCAAATGGTTCTTCACGTAGACTGCCGTCATTGCCGCTTCAGCCTAGAAGCGCTTGTCCATTTTGACATGATGAAGCATGCTGCGACCGATGGTGATGACAGTCCGAGTTGCGCGTTCAGCAGTTCCGTTGGATTGATCAGCAGATGACACCGTGGTTTGCTGTTCGATGCCTTCGACTTCGTAGAAATCTTGAAGCGAGCTTGTCGCAAACTTGCGGGATCTATCGTGTCACACAAACTTGACCTTTATGCTTGTTAAAGTCTGAAGAGCACTGGACGAGAGAACGAAGCTTGAAAGGCTTGAAAGAAGTCTGCACTGCGAAGTGTAGACGACTTGTGCTGAAGAAGGAATATTTGGAAGTGAATTTATTTGTGGGTTTTGTTAAAGCTACCTGATTTATCTCTGCACTGATTTATATGTTGTCCACATATGAATCATGAATCATAAATCATGTAGGTCATCCAATCATCCTATGCGTCTAATCATTGGTAAAAACTCACCGTAATTACGCGGGATCGACTTGGACAGGTTTACGGTTCCCATGGTAGCTGATAGCAGTACTTCAACCGTCAACCCACAATACGCCCCCTCAATGCGAACACGCGTGTATGCTGAGCGCTTCCGTCAAGTCCTTGTGGCGCGGTCCTGGCAGTCCCTTCGTCATGATGTCCGCCAACATGATCGTAGTCTCACAGTACTCCAACGTGACATCACCACGCTTGACTTCATCACGAATGTGGTGGTACTTGATGTCGATGTGCTTGGCCCGACCATGGTTCACAGGATTCTTCGTCATCTTGATGCACGATTGATTGTCTTCCATGATCTTGAGCTCGGGTCTGGGCTTGTCCTCTGCGGCATCCAGAATCTCGCACAGCAATCGATGCACCCACTTGCCTTCTTGAATCGCCAGACTTAGTGCAATGTACTCAGCTTCACTTGTTGACAGCGACACACTTGACTGCTTTTTGCTTCCCCAGCTCACCGGAGCACCCATCAGGATAAACGCATATCCTGAAGTCGACTTGCGGTCTGCATGGTCGCCGGCCCAGTCTGCATCCGAGTAGCCACAGAAGTCTATCTTGTCATCAGGCTTGAAGCAGATACCGTGCGACTTAGTCCCTTGTAAGTATCGCAAAATGCGCTTGACCGCCATCCAATGCTCGACTTGGGGGTTCTCCATGAAGCGCGAAACGTAACTCACAGCAAAGGCAATGTCCGGTCGTGTCGCGGTCATCAAGTGCATCAGAGCGCCTACTGCTTCACGAAACGGGGCGTCGATTTTAGTTGCTGCGGTACTTGGTATGAGTCGAGAACTGATGTCTGTTGGGCTGGTGACGGCTTTGCAGTCGCTCATGCCAAAACGCTTGAGAACATCTTCCACGTAGCGTCGCTGGCACATCGTCACGCTACCGTCGTCGTTGTCCACCAGCTCGATGCCCAACACGAATGCGCACTTCCCACTGTCGGTCATTTCGAAACGCGCCTTTAAGTCACTCTTGGTATGCATAATCAGTTCGGTTGAGCTGCCAGTCACCAACACATCATCGACGTATACCAGCAAAAGCACGCACTCGTTACTTGTAATCTTGAGATAAAGACACGGGTCAAAATCGGAGACTTGAAATCCAATGGAGCAGACGAACTCATGAAAAGTCTCGTTCCATACGCGCGATGCTTGTTTTAGTCCGTAGATCGCCTTGACCAGTTCAAAGCAGTCAAAGTCTTCATCAACTTCGACTCCTTCTGGGATCGCGCAGAATACCTTTTCCTTCATTTCTCCGTAAAGGAAAGCTGTCACCACGTCCAGTTGGTCCAGTGTCCAGCCAAAGTACTTCGTGATTGCAACCATTATGCGCAGCGTCACGTACTTGACTACCGGCGAAAACGTTTCCGTGTAGTCGATGCCATATTTCTGCTTGAACCCTTTTGCCACGAGGCGCGCCTTGTATTTCTCGATGGATCCGTCAGCTTTCCGCTTGATCTTGAATACTTACTTGGTGCCAATGGTATGCTGTCCAGACGGCAGTTTGGTCGCTCGAAACACGCCACGAAGTTTCATCGAGTCCAACTCGGCACAGATTGCCTTACGCCAATGCACTTGATCTGGTCCACCAACAGCATCTCCAAACGTTGTCGGCTCAGACAAGTCAGTACCTTCGACTGCATTGGCACTCGCTCGCCAAAAGACTTGAGGTATAGCATCCTCGTTATCTTCGTCACTGCCCTTTTGCTCTTCGTCCAGATTGTCTCGAGCGCTTGATCGTCGCTTCGCTTGGTGCGATTCAGAGTCATCCGGAGCACTTGCTTCTTCTAACCCGGTTCCACGACGCTCAAGAAGTGTCCGTTGCAGAACTTGTTCTTGACTGATTGAACGGCTTTTGCGTTTTCCAGTTTGCTTGAACTGCATGGGGTGAGGCTCATCGTTGATGTTCATCGATTCGATATCCAGCGCAGTGTCATCAACAATTCCTTGTGGTAGCCTCGGCGAGAAACCAAGCGTTGACTCGTCGAATGTGACATCGCGAGATATCACCACTTGGTCCGCTTCAATGTCGTAAACGCGATATGCCTTTGACACTTCTTCGTACCCCATGAATAGTCCTTCACGAGCCTTCGGATCCCATTTCGATCTCTTTTCCTTAGGGGTCAGCACAAACGTTCGGCAGCCGAAAACCCGCATGTGCTTCACACTTGGTCGAAATCCGTTGACGATCTCGAACGGGGTTTGATCTTGGCACTTGGGCGATGGTAGGCGATTCTTGATGTAGATTGCCGTCATTGCTGCTTCAGCCCAAAAACACTTGTCCAGTTTGGCGTAGTGAAGCATGCTGCGCCCGATCGTCACAATAGTCCGAATTGCCCGTTCCGCCGTGCCGTTGGTCTGATGCGCATACGGAACGGTAACTTGCTGCTCGATTCCTTGATCATCGTAAAATGCCTTGAGCGAATTCGCCGCAAATTCTCGTGCACCATCGTGTCGAACGAACTTGACCTTGTAGTCAAACTGCGTCTGTACTGCCATGATGTACTTCTTGATGCACTCTTCGCTGTCGGACTTGGCGCGCAGACTGAAACCCTTCATACATCCGCTGCCTTCATCGACGATCAGCAGCAAGTACTTGCTTCCACCTAGAGAGTCGACTTCCATTGGACCACAAGTGTCGATGTGTAGAAGCTCAAACGGATCGTAGTGGCGCTTGTTTGGATTGCTCGGGAACGGTCGTTGAACCATTTTTCCTTCTAGACAACCTTGACACACGCTTGATACGCTCAATTTTTCTGGCTTCTTGGCATCCTTGATCATGCCCTTGGAGACCATTCTGCACAAGACATCAATCGGTGCGTGGCCCATACGCGCATGAAGGTTTTCGACTCTTGGTCCTGAAGCCGCATTCACCGATCGTTGGGATGTATGAAGCCATTAGAGGCCATCCACAAGATCGGCCATCGCTATTACTTGCTTGGAGCCTTTGTGCGAAATCTTCATCTCGTCACCATCAAACACCACTTGAAACTTGCCGCTTTTGTTGATTTGTGGTATCGACAGCAAGTTCTTGTTCATGCTTGGGACGTAAAGCGCGTTCTTGATCTCGACTTCGCGCTCTTCACCGTTGGACAGGGTCACCTTTTCGATGATTGTCCCGACACCGTTGATCGCAGCCTTGTTCCCATCTGCAACCAACACTTCGCCTTCATTGCGCTCGTCCAGAAATTCGAACTTGGACTTGTCATAGCAGATGTGATGTGTTGCACCGCTATCAATCGCCCACATTCCAGACATGCTCTTGGTCGTTGAAAGTCCGCATTCCAGCGAAACAGCAAACGCCACTCGATCATGGTCTTAGTTGTTGCCGTTGCCGTTGTAGCCGTGCCATTGGACTTGATTTGCTCCGCGTCCACGAGCCCAATGGCACGGCCCTTGTTGCCGCTGCGTCGATCTCCTCGGTCGTCTTCCCTCTGTTTGGTCCAGCACTTTATCACCACGTGACCCAATTTTCCGCAGAACGTACATTGACGGAATTCACGCTCGGTACTGAAGGCCTTGGTCGCTTCTTCAGTTTTCACCGATGTCGTCTTTTTCCCTTGTCTCTTGATGTGCTCATTCGTCAGCACTTTCACGACGTCTTGCGTCCGCAGTTCCGCGCTGCTCATCTCCAAGTTCAGCACGACGTTCTCGTAGCTCTTGGGGAGGCTGCACAACAAGCAGATCGCCACGTCCTCATCCTCCATCTCGGCGCCGATGCTGCTGAGCTTGGCGCTGATGTTGAGAACTTCATTGCAATGATGCATGAAATTGCCGCCTTCCGCCATCTCCATGCTGAACAGCTGCCGCTTCAAGAAGATCCGTCCCGCCTTCTGCGATCCGCCGTAGAGAGTCTTCAACCGTGTCCACGCAACCCATGCCTCGTCGCAGTCATCAACCACGTGATGATAGTCCGCGCTCATGTGAAGTAACATCAAGCCGAACGCAATGTTGTTCGTCTTGACGTACTCATCACTGGCGCGAGGATCGGCGAAGGTGGGGGGTGGTCTCCCCGGTTGACCACGTGCCACGTCGACTTGGTCAGGAACACGCCACGCATGTAGCGGCTCCACGTCGCGTAGTTGTCTCCATCGAATCTATCGATAGAGATCTTGGTGGCGGAATCTTGAGCAGAGGACATCGTGCTTGGGCTCATAACCTGTTAAAGTCTGAAGAGCACTGGACGAGAGAACGATGCTTGAAAGGCTTGAAAGAAGTCTGCACTGCGAAGTGTAGACGACTTGTGCTGAAGAAGGAATATTTGGAAGTGAATTTATTTGTGGGTTTTGTTAAAGCTACCTGATTTATCTCTGCACTGATTTATATGTTGTCCACATATAAATCATGAATCATAAATCATGTAGGTCATCCAACCATCCTATGCGTCTAATCATTGGTAAAAACTCACCGTAATTACGCGGGATCGACTTGGACAGGTTTACGGTTCCCATGGTAGCTGATAGCAGTACTTCAACCGTCAACCCACAATAATGCTGATCTGCTTTTGGACAATCGTGATGTACCTCTTGATTCACTCCTCACTCTCCGACTTGGCATGCAGACAAAAATCCTATATGCACCCGCTGGTTTCATCCGCGACACGCAGCAGATACTTGCTGTCCCTTAAAGATTTGTCTTCCATGGGTCCTCAGGTGTCGAAGTGGAGCATCTCGAAGGTATTGAAGGTGCGCTTGTCACGGTTTCTCGAGAATGGTTTTGAACCATCTTCCCTTCCTGACATCCTCGACACACACTCGGTTTGAAAGGGATGTAAGCGTCTTTAATCATGTTGCTTGTCACCATCTTGCGAAGTACGTCGACTGGAGCATGGCCCATTCGCGCATGAATATCTTCAAATTTCAGCCGCGAAGTAGCATTCACAGATCGTTGTGGTGTGCGAATCCAGTAGGGTCCATTCATAATATCCGCCATCTCCATGTTGCAACTTGAGCGCGAGGCGAAGAGAAAACGAAGCGGAGAGACCGGAGAGAACGAAGCAGAGAACACTTGCTCACTTGAGGGAGGATTCGAAAGTGATTGATTTATAGGTCTTAACTTCTGCCTACCCTATACTGCATCCAATCACATGGTGCATCTGATCAACCTGATTTACACGCGTCCAATCATCCTACGCGTCTAATCATCTCTGAGGTAATTACCGATGTAAAAACTATCTCGTAAGAACTACGCGCTAGGTTCGGATTGTACCGGTAACCCTCAATACGCCCCCTCAATCCGAACACGCACGGATGCCAAGCGCCGCCGTCAAGTCCTTGTGACGCGGTCCGTGAAGTCCCTTCGTCATGATGTCCGCCAACATCAACGTCGTCTCGCAGTATTCAAGCTTCACTTCGCCGCGCTTGACTTCATCACGGATGTGATGGTACTTGATGTCGATGTGTTTAGCGCGGCCGTGGTTGACCGGATTCTTCGTCATCTTGATGCACGACTGGTTGTCTTCACGGATGACGAGCTCGGGTCCTTCTTCGTTTGCAGCCGCCATGATCTCGCACAGCAAGCGATTGATCCACTTGCCTTCTTGGATCGCCAGGCTGAGCGCGATGTACTCCGCTTCACTTGTAGACAGTGACACACTTGGCTGTTTCTTGCTGCCCCAACTCACCGGAGCACCCAATAGCATGAAGACGTAGCCGGACGTCGATTTGCGATCAGCAAGGTCACCGGCCCAGTCTGCATCTGAATAGCCACGAAAGTCGATCTTCGCACTTGGCTTGTAGCAGATTCCATGCATCTTGGTGCCTTGTAGGTAGCGGAAGATGCGCTTGACTGCAACCCAGTGTTCTTCTTGGGGTTTCTCCATGAACCGTGACACAAAGCTTACAGCATAGGCGATGTCCGGTCGCGTTGCAGTCGTCAGATGCATCAAAGCACCCACTGCTTCACGGAATGGGACATCCACCTTGCTTGCAGAGTTGCTCGGAACCAGTCGAGAGCTGACGTCCACCGGACTTGCCACAGCCTTGCACTCATCCATTCCAAAGCGCTTGAGGACATCGTCGACATAACGGCGCTGACACATAGTCACGCTGCCATCTTCACCGTCCAATAACTCGATCCCAAGAACAAAGGCACACTTGCCGCTGTCCGTCATCTCGAAGCGTGTCTTGAGGTCGTTCTTGGTGCGCGCAATCATCTCGAGCGAGCTTCCAGTCACCAAGACATCGTCCACGTAGACCAGCACAAAAACACAATGGCCTTCCGAAGTCATGATGTAGAGACATGGATCGAATCCCGACGCTTGAAAACCAATCGAGCGTATGAACTCGTCGAAGGTCTCGTTCCAAACACGCGAGGCTTGCTTGAGACCGTAGATCGCCTTGATCAGCTCGAGACAGTCGAAATCACCTTCCATCTTGACGCCTTCCGGAACAGCGCAGAACATCTTCTCCTTCATCACTCCATACAGGAACGCAGTCACCACATCGAGCTGGTCGAGGGGCCATCCAAAGTGCTTGGTAATGGCAATGACCATTCGCAGCGTCACATACTTGACCACGGGCGAGAACGTCTCCGTGTAGTCGATGCCATACTTTTGGCGAAAACCCTTGGCCACAAGTCGTGCCTTGTATTTCTCGATCGACCCATCCGCCTTGCGCTTGATCTTGAAGACCCACTTTGTGCCGATGGCGCTTTGTCCGTTGGGTAACTTGGCCGCACGAAAGACACCGCGAAGCTTCATCGAATCGAGCTCCGCATCAATTGCCTTGCGCCAGTGTACTTGGTCCGGGCCAGACACTGCTTCTTCAAATGCCGACGGCTCCGAAAAATCGACCGCTGCTTCGACGGCGTTTGCACTCGCATGCCAAAACGCGGAGGAAGTCGGTGTGTCATGTTGTTCCTCCGACTTCCTTTCTTCATCTTCGTTGGCTCGACGTGAAGAGAGGTCATCCGGCGCACTTGACTCTTCCAATCCGGGTCGTTGGCGCACTGCTCGGGGGCATGCTTGTGTCGTCATTGTCGTGACTGGGTTGGGCCTTGCGCTTTCCTGTTTGTTTGAAGTGTCTCGGACGCGGTTCTTCATCATCAAGATCGATCGATTCGAAGTCCAGGCCATCAACATCGTCATCGGAAATCAGCATCGACAGTCCAAAGGCCGACTCATCGAAGTTGACATCGCGACTTATCGTCTCCTGCCCCGCTTCGATGTCGTAAACTCGATACGCCTTGGACACTTCTTCGTAGCCCAAAAACAATCCAGCCCGGGCCTTGGGATCCCACTTGAGTCGTTTCTCCTTCGGGGTCAAGATGTATGCTTGGCACCCAAAAACGCGCATGTGCTTGACACTTGGCTTAGAATTGTAGACAATCTCGAACGGTGTCTTGTGTGGAAACTTGGGTGACGGCAAACGGTTCTTCACATAGACGGCCGTCATTGCCGCTTCAGCCCAGAAGCACTTGTGCAACTTGGCATGGTGAAGCATGCTGCGGCCGATCGTGACGATAGTTCGAATCGCGCGTTCAGCAGTTCCATTGGCTTGATGTGCGTATGGCACCGTGGTTTGTTGCTCGATGCCTTCGACTTCGTAGAAATCTTGAAGCGAGTTCGTCGCAAACTCGCAAGCTCGTCGTGGCGCACAAAACTTGACCTTCTTGCTGAACTGCGTCTGCATCATCGTGATGTACTTCTTGATGCACTCTTCGCTCTCTGACTTGGAATGCAGACAAAAACCCTTCATACATCCACTCGCCTCATCCACGATCAACAGCAGGTATTTGCTGCCGCCCAGAGATTTTTCTTCCATGGGTCCGCAGATGTCGAAGTGAAGCATCTCGAAGGTGTTGTAGGTGCGCTTGTCACGGTTGCTCGGGAATGGTTTTTGGACCATCTTCCCTTCTTGGCATCCTCGACACACACTTGATCCATTCGGCTTGGAAGGGATGTGAGCGTCCTTGATCATGTGGCTTGTCACCATCCTGCGAAGCACGTCGACTGGAGCATGGCCCATTCGCGCATGTAGATCAACAGCGTTGCTGAGTGATGTCGCATTGGCCGATCGCTGCGTCGTGCGAAGCCAGTAGAGTCCGTCTACAAGATCCGCAGCTGCCACCACTTGATTGGAATCCTTGCGAGCGACGTACATCGTATCCCCGTCAAACACCACTTGGAAGTTGCCGTGCTTGTTAATCTGCGGCACCGAGAGCAGATTTTTGCTCATGCTGGGCACATAGAGCGCGTTCTTGATCTCGATCTCGCGCTCTTCCCCGTTTGGCAGAATCACCTTTTCCACGATGGTCCCCACACCTTTGATGGCCGCCTTGTTGCCATCAGCCACCAGGATCTCGCCATCATTGCCTTCGACCAAGCTTGCAAACTTGAACTTGTCGTGGCAGATGTGATGTGTTGCCCCGCTGTCAACGGCCCACATTCCTGGTCCATTCTTGTTCGTCGAAACTCCGCATTCGAACGAAACTGCAAACGCCACTCGATCGTAGCTGTTGCCTTCATCATAATGTCGCCACTGGACATTGTTTGCCCCGCGTCGACGACCATTGCCGCCGCGTTGGGCTCCTCGACTTTCATCCTTTTGCTTCGTCCAGCAACGCTCTGCCGTGTGCCCCACCTTGCCGCAGTATGTGCATTGGTAGGGCTTGCGCTCGGTACTGAATGCCTTTGTCGCATCTTCAGTCTTCACCGTTGTCGTTGCCGTTGTCATCTTCTCGCCTTGTCGCTTGATGTGCTCGTTAGTCAGCACCTTGACCACATCTTGCGTGCGCAGCTCTGCATTGCTCATCTCCAAGTTGAGAACCACGTTCTCAAAACTCTTCGGGAGACTGAGCAGCAAGCAGATCGCAATGTCTTCGTCTTCCATCTTGGCACCGATGCTGCTGAGCTTGGCGCCGATGTTCAAGACTTCGTTGCAATGGTGCAAGACGTTGGCACCTTCCGCCATCTTGATGCTGAACAGCTGGCGCTTGAGGTAGATGCGTCCCGCCTTCTGCGACCCACCATAGAGCATCTTCAACCGCGACCACGCTGTCCATGCTTCTTCACAGTTGTCGACCACATGGTGGTAGTCGGCGTCCATGTGGAGCAACATCAACCCGAACGCGATGTTGCTCGCCTTGACGTACTCGTCGGAAGCTCGCGTGTCGGTGAAGGTTGGAGACGTTTCGCGGTTCACGACGTACCAGACTGACTTCGTCAGAAACACGCCGCGCATGTAGCGACACCAGGTTGAGTAGTTGTCCCCATCGAACTTATCGATGGAGACACTGGCCGAGGTGTTGTTGGACGACATGGCGCTTGGGCTCATAACCTGTTGCAACTTGAGCGCGAGGCGAAGAGAAAACGAAGCGGAGAGACCGGAGAGAACGAAGCAGAGAACACTTGCTCACTTGAGGGAGGATTCGAAAGTGATTGATTTATAGGTCTTAACTTCTGCCTACCCTAGACTGCATCCAATCACATGGTGCATCTGATCAACCTGATTTACACGCGTCCAATCATCCTACGCGTCTAATCATCTCTGAGGTAATTACCGATGTAAAAACTATCTCGTAAGAACTAGGCGCTAGGTTCGGATTGTACCGGTAACCCTCAATACTCCAATGCTTGCTTGGAGTCTTTGTGCGAAATCTTCATCTCACTCTTATCAAACACCACTCAGAACTTGCCGCTTTTGTTAATCTGGGGTATCGACAGTAGGTTCTTGTTCATGCTTGAGACATTAAGTGCATCCTCGATTTCAACTTCGCGCTCTTCACCGTTTGGTAGGACCACCTTTTCGACGATAGTCCCAACTCTATTGATCGCAGCCTTGTTTCCGTCTGCAACCAGCACATCACCTTCATTGCGCTCGTCCAGAACTTCAAACTTGGACTTTTCATTGAAGATGTGGTGCGTTGCTGCTGTAAATCGCCCACATTTCCACCATGGTCTTGGCTGTCGAAAGCTCGCATTCCAGCGAAACAGCAAACGCCACTCGATCATGGTCTTAGTTGTTGCCGTTGCCGTTGTAGCCGTGCCATTGGACTTGATTTGCTCCGCGTCCACGAGCCCAATGGCACGGCCCTTGTTGCCGCTGCGTCGATCTCCTCGGTCGTCTTCCCTCTGTTTGGTCCAGCACTTTATCACCACGTGCCCCAATTTTCCGCAGAAAGTACATTGACGGAATTCACGCTCGGTGCTGAAGGCCTTGGTTGCTTCTTCAGTCTTCACCAATGTCGTCGTGTTTCGTTGTCTCTTGATGTGCTCATTCGTAAGCACTCTCACGACGTCTTGCGACCGCAGTTCTGCGCTGCTCGTCTCCAAGTTGAGAGCAACGTTCTCATAGCTCTTGGGGAGACTGCACAACAAGCAGATCTCCATGTCCTCATCCTCCATCTTGGCGCCGATACTGCTGAGCTTGGCGCCGATGTTCAAGACTTCGTTGCAATGGTGCAAGACGTTGGCACCTTCCGCCATCTTGATGCTGAACAGCTGGCGCTTGAGGTAGATGCGTCCCGCCTTCTGCGACCCACCATAGAGCATCTTCAACCGCGACCACGCTGTCCATGCTTCTTCACAGTTGTCGACCACATGGTGGTAGTCGGCGTCCATGTGGAGCAACATCAACCCGAACGCGATGTTGCTCGCCTTGACGTACTCGTCGGAAGCTCGCGTGTCGGTGAAGGTTGGAGACGTTTCGCGGTTCACGACGTACCAGACTGACTTCGTCAGAAACACGCCGCGCATGTAGCGACACCAGGTTGAGTAGTTGTCCCCATCGAACTTATCGATGGAGACACTGGCCGAGGTGTTGTTGGACGACATGGCGCTTGGGCTCATAACCTGTTGCAACTTGAGCGCGAGGCGAAGAGAAAACGAAGCGGAGAGACCGGAGAGAACGAAGCAGAGAACACTTGCTCACTTGAGGGAGGATTCGAAAGTGATTGATTTATAGGTCTTAACTTCTGCCTACCCTAGACTGCATCCAATCACATGGTGCATCTGATCAACCTGATTTACACGCGTCCAATCATCCTACGCGTCTAATCATCTCTGAGGTAATTACCGATGTAAAAACTATCTCGTAAGAACTAGGCGCTAGGTTCGGATTGTACCGGTAACCCTCAATACTCCAATGCTTGCTTGGAGTCTTTGTGCGAAATCTTCATCTCACTCTTATCAAACACCACTCAGAACTTGCCGCTTTTGTTAATCTGGGGTATCGACAGTAGGTTCTTGTTCATGCTTGAGACATTAAGTGCATCCTCGATTTCAACTTCGCGCTCTTCACCGTTTGGTAGGACCACCTTTTCGACGATAGTCCCAACTCTATTGATCGCAGCCTTGTTTCCGTCTGCAACCAGCACATCACCTTCATTGCGCTCGTCCAGAACTTCAAACTTGGACTTTTCATTGAAGATGTGGTGCGTTGCTGCTGTAAATCGCCCACATTTCCACCATGGTCTTGGCTGTCGAAAGCTCGCATTCCAGCGAAACAGCAAACGCCACTCGATCATGGTCTTAGTTGTTGCCGTTGCCGTTGTAGCCGTGCCATTGGACTTGATTTGCTCCGCGTCCACGAGCCCAATGGCACGGCCCTTGTTGCCGCTGCGTCGATCTCCTCGGTCGTCTTCCCTCTGTTTGGTCCAGCACTTTATCACCACGTGCCCCAATTTTCCGCAGAAAGTACATTGACGGAATTCACGCTCGGTGCTGAAGGCCTTGGTTGCTTCTTCAGTCTTCACCAATGTCGTCGTGTTTCGTTGTCTCTTGATGTGCTCATTCGTAAGCACTCTCACGACGTCTTGCGACCGCAGTTCTGCGCTGCTCGTCTCCAAGTTGAGAGCAACGTTCTCATAGCTCTTGGGGAGACTGCACAACAAGCAGATCTCCATGTCCTCATCCTCCATCTTGGCGCCGATACTGCTGAGCTTGGCGCTGGTGTTGAAAACGTTGTTGCAATGATGCATGAAATTGCCGCCTTCCTCCATCTCCATGCTGAACAGCTGTGTTGTAACTTGAGCGCGAGGCGAAGAGAAAACGAAGCGGAGAGACCGGAGAGAACGAAGCAGAGAACACTTGCTCACTTGAGGGAGGATTCGAAAGTGATTGATTTATAGGTCTTAACTTCTGCCTACCCTAGACTGCATCCAATCACATGGTGCATCTGATCAACCTGATTTACACGCGTCCAATCATCCTACGCGTCTAATCATCTCTGAGGTAATTACCGATGTAAAAACTATCTCGTAAGAACTACGCGCTAGGTTCGGATTGTACAGGTAAACCTCAATACGCCCCCTCAATACGAACACGTGCGGATGCCAAGCGCCTCTGTCAGCTCCTTGTGACGCGGTCCGTGAAGTCCCTTCGTCATGATGTCCGCCAACATCAACGTCGTCTCGCAGTATTCAAGCTTCACTTCGCCGCGCTTGACTTCATCACGGATGTGATGGTACTTGATGTCGATGTGTTTAGCGCGGCCGTGGTTGACCGGATTCTTCGTCATCTTGATGCACGACTGGTTGTCTTCACGGATGACGAGCTCGGGTCCTTCTTCGTTTGCAGCCGCCATGATCTCGCACAGCAAGCGATTGATCCACTTGCCTTCTTGGATCGCCAGCTGAGCGCGATGTACTCCGCTTCGCTTGTAGACAGTGACACACTTGGCTGTTTCTTGCTGCCCCAACTCACCGGAGCACCCAATAGCATGAAGACGTAGCCGGACGTCGATTTGCGATCAGCAAGGTCACCGGCCCAGTCTGCATCTGAATAGCCACGAAAGTCGATCTTCGCACTTGGCTTGTAGCAGATTCCATGCATCTTGGTGCCTTGTAGGTAGCGGAAGATGCGCTTGACTGCAACCCAGTGTTCTTCTTGGGGTTTCTCCATGAACCGTGACACAAAGCTTACAGCATAGGCGATGTCCGGTCGCGTTGCAGTCGTCAGATGCATCAAATCACCCACTGCTTCACGGAATGGGACATCCACCTTGCTTGCAGAGTTGCTCGGAACCAGTCGAGAGCTGACGTCCACCGGACTTGCCACAGCCTTGCACTCATCCATTCCAAAGCGCTTGAGGACATCGTCGACATAACGGCGCTGACACATAGTCACGCTGCCATCTTCACCGTCCAATAACTCGATCCCAAGAACAAAGGCACACTTGCCGCTGTCCGTCATCTCGAAGCGTGTCTTGAGGTCGTTCTTGGTGCGCGCAATCATCTCGAGCGAGCTTCCAGTCACCAAGACATCGTCCACGTAGACCAGCACAAAAACACAATGGCCTTCCGAAGTCATGATGTAGAGACATGGATCGAATCCCGACGCTTGAAAACCAATCGAGCGTATGAACTCGTCGAAGGTCTCGGTCCAAACACGCGAGGCTTGCTTGAGACCGTAGATCGCCTTGATCAGCTCGAGACAGTCGAAATCACCTTCCATCTTGACGCCTTCCGGAACAGCGCAGAACATCTTCTCCTTCATCACTCCATACAGGAACGCAGTCACCACATCGAGCTGGTCGAGGGGCCATCCAAAGTGCTTGGTAATGGCGATGACCATTCGCAGCGTCACATACTTGACCACGGGCGAGAACGTCTCCGTGTAGTCGATGCCATACTTTTGGCGAAAACCCTTGGCCACAAGTCGTGCCTTGTATTTCTCGATCGACCCATCCGCCTTGCGCTTGATCTTGAAGACCCACTTTGTGCCGATGGCGCTTTGTCCGTTGGGTAACTTGGCCGCACGAAAGACACCGCGAAGCTTCATCGAATCGAGCTCCGCATCAATTGCCTTGCGCCAGTGTACTTGGTCCGGGCCAGACACTGCTTCTTCAAATGTCGACGGCTCCGAAAAATCGACCGCTGCTTCGACGGCGTTTGCACTCGCGTGCCAAAACGCGGAGGAAGTCGGTGTGTCATGTTGTTCCTCCGACTTCCTTTCTTCATCTTCGTTGGCTCGACGTGAAGAGAGGTCATCCGGCGCACTTGACTCTTCCAATCCGGGTCGTTGGCGCACTGCTCGGGGCATGCTTGCGTCGTCATTGTCGTGACTGGGTTGGGCCTTGCGCTTTCCTGTTTGTTTGAAGTGTCTCGGACGCGGTTCTTCATCATCAAGATCGATCGATTCGAAGTCCAGGCCATCAACATCGTCATCTGAAATCAGCATCGACAGTCCAAAGGCCGACTCATCGAAGTTGACATCGCGACTTATCATCACCTGCCCCGCTTCGATGTCGTAAACTCGATACGCTTTTGATACTTCTTCGTATCCCATGAACACACCTGCACGAGCCTTGGCATCCCACTTGAGTCGTTTCTCCTTCGGGGTCAAGATGTATGCTTGGCACCCAAAAACGCGCATGTGCTTGACACTTGGCTTAGAATTGTAGACAATCTCGAACGGTGTCTTGTGTGGAAACTTGGGTGACGGCAAACGGTTCTTCACATAGACGGCCGTCATTGCCGCTTCAGCCCAGAAGCACTTGTGCAACTTGGCATGATGAAGCATGCTACGACCGATCGTGACGATAGTTCGAATCGCGCGTTCAGCAGTTCCATTGGCTTGATGTGCGTATGGCACCGTGGTTTGTTGCTCGATGCCTTCGACTTCGTAGAAATCTTGAAGCGAGTTCGTCGCAAACTCGCAAGCTCGTCGTGGCGCACAAAACTTGACCTTCTTGCTGAACTGCGTCTGCATCATCGTGATGTACTTCTTGATGCAATCTTCGCTCTCTGACTTGGAATGCAGACAAAAACCCTTCATGCATCCGCTGGATTCATCCACGATCAGCAGCAGATACTTGCTGCCACCCAGAGATTTTTTCTTCCATGGGTCCGCAGATGTCGAAGTGAAGCATCTCGAAGGTGTTGTAGGTGCGCTTGTCACGGTTGCTCGGGAATGGTTTTTGGACCATCTTCCCTTCTTGGCATCCTCGACACACACTTGATCCATTCGGCTTGGAAGGGATGTGAGCGTCCTTGATCATGTGGCTTGTCACCATCCTGCGAAGCACGTCGACTGGAGCATGGCCCATTCGCGCATGTAGATCAACAGCGTTGCTGAGTGATGTCGCATTGGCCGATCGCTGCGTCGTGCGAAGCCAGTAGAGTCCGTCTACAAGATCCGCAGCTGCCACCACTTGATTGGAATCCTTGCGAGCGACGTACATCGTATCCCCGTCAAACACCACTTGGAAGTTGCCGTGCTTGTTAATCTGCGGCACCGAGAGCAGATTTTTGCTCATGCTGGGCACATAGAGCGCGTTCTTGATCTCGATCTCGCGCTCTTCCCCGTTTGGCAGAATCACCTTTTCCACGATGGTCCCCACACCTTTGATGGCCGCCTTGTTGCCATCAGCCACCAGGATCTCGCCATCATTGCCTTCGGCCAAGCTTGCAAACTTGAACTTGTCGTGGCAGATGTGATGTGTTGCCCCGCTGTCAACGGCCCACATTCCTGGTCCATTCTTGTTCGTCGAAACTCCGCATTCGAACGAAACTGCAAACGCCACTCGATCGTAGCTGTTGCCTTCATCATAATGTCGCCACTGGACATTGTTTGCCCCGCGTCCACGACCATTGCCGCTGCGTTGGGCTCCTCGACTTTCATCCTTTTGCTTCGTCCAGCAACGCTCTGCCGTGTGCCCCACCTTGCCGCAGTATGTGCATTGGTAGGGCTTGCGCTCGGTACTGAATGCCTTTGTCGCATCTTCAGTCTTCACCGTAGTCGTTGCCGTTGTCATCTTCTTGCCTTGTCGCTTGATGTGCTCGTTAGTCAGCACCTTGACCACATCTTGCGTGCGCAGCTCTGCATTACTCATCTCCAAGTTGAGAATCACGTTCTCGAAACTCTTGGGCAGACTGCGCAGTAAGCAGATCGCAATGTCTTCGTCTTCCATCTTGGCACCGATGCTGCTGAGCTTGGCGCCGATGTTCAAGACTTCGTTGCAATGGTGCAAGACGTTGGCACCTTCCGCCATCTTGATGCTGAACAGCTGGCGCTTGAGGTAGATGCGTCCCGCCTTCTGCGACCCACCATAGAGCATCTTCAACCGCGACCACGCTGTCCATGCTTCTTCACAGTTGTCGACCACATGGTGGTAGTCGGCGTCCATGTGGAGCAACATCAACCCGAACGCGATGTTGCTCGCCTTGACGTACTCGTCGGAAGCTCGCGTGTCGGTGAAGGTTGGAGACGTTTCGCGGTTCACGACGTACCAGACTGACTTCGTCAGAAACACGCCGCGCATGTAGCGACACCAGGTTGAGTAGTTGTCCCCATCGAACTTATCGATGGAGACACTGGCCGAGGTGTTGTTGGACGACATGGCGCTTGGGCTCATAACCTGTTGCAACTTGAGCGCGAGGCGAAGAGAAAACGAAGCGGAGAGACCGGAGAGAACGAAGCAGAGAACACTTGCTCACTTGAGGGAGGATTCGAAAGTGATTGATTTATAGGTCTTAACTTCTGCCTACCCTAGACTGCATCCAATCACATGGTGCATCTGATCAACCTGATTTACACGCGTCCAATCATCCTACGCGTCTAATCATCTCTGAGGTAATTACCGATGTAAAAACTATCTCGTAAGAACTAGGCGCTAGGTTCGGATTGTACCGGTAACCCTCAATACTCCAATGCTTGCTTGGAGTCTTTGTGCGAAATCTTCATCTCACTCTTATCAAACACCACTCAGAACTTGCCGCTTTTGTTAATCTGGGGTATCGACAGTAGGTTCTTGTTCATGCTTGAGACATTAAGTGCATCCTCAATTTCAACTTCGCGCTCTTCACCGTTTGGTAGGACCACCTTTTCGACGATAGTCCCAACTCTATTGATCGCAGCCTTGTTTCCGTCTGCAACCAGCACATCACCTTCATTGCGCTCGTCCAGAACTTCAAACTTGGACTTTTCATTGAAGATGTGGTGCGTTGCTGCTGTAAATCGCCCACATTTCCACCATGGTCTTGGCTGTCGAAAGCTCGCATTCCAGCGAAACAGCAAACGCCACTCGATCATGGTCTTAGTTGTTGCCGTTGCCGTTGTAGCCGTGCCATTGGACTTGATTCGCTCCGCGTCCACGAGCCTAATGGCACGGCCCTTGTTGCCGCTGCGTCGATCTCCTCGGTCGTCTTCCCTCTGTTTGGTCCAGCACTTTATCACCACGTGCCCCAATTTTCCGCAGAACGTACATTGACGGAATTCACGCTCGGTGCTGAAGGCCTTGGTCGCTTCTTCAGTCTTCACCAATGTCGTCGTGTTTCGTTGTCTCTTGATGTGCTCATTCGTAAGCACTCTCACGACGTCTTGCGACCGCAGTTCTGCGCTGCTCGTCTCCAAGTTGAGAGCAACGTTCTCATAGCTCTTGGGGAGACTGCACAACAAGCAGATCTCCATGTCCTCATCCTCCATCTTGGCGCCGATACTGCTGAGCTTGGCGCTGGTGTTGAAAAACGTTGTTGCAATGATGCATGAAATTGCCGCCTTCCTCCATCTCCATGCTGAACAGCTGTGTTGTAACTTGAGCGCGAGGCGAAGAGAAAACGAAGCGGAGAGACCGGAGAGAACGAAGCAGAGAACACTTGCTCACTTGAGGGAGGATTCGAAAGTGATTGATTTATAGGTCTTAACTTCTGCCTACCCTAGACTGCATCCAATCACATGGTGCATCTGATCAACCTGATTTACACGCGTCCAATCATCCTACGCGTCTAATCATCTCTGAGGTAATTACCGATGTAAAAACTATCTCGTAAGAACTAGGCGCTAGGTTCGGATTGTACCGGTAACCCTCAATACTCCAATGCTTGCTTGGAGTCTTTGTGCGAAATCTTCATCTCACTCTTATCAAACACCACTCAGAACTTGCCGCTTTTGTTAATCTGGGGTATCGACAGTAGGTTCTTGTTCATGCTTGAGACATTAAGTGCATCCTCAATTTCAACTTCGCGCTCTTCACCGTTTGGTAGGACCACCTTTTCGACGATAGTCCCAACTCTATTGATCGCAGCCTTGTTTTCGTCTGCAACCAGCACATCACCTTCATTGCGCTCGTCCAGAACTTCAAACTTGGACTTTTCATTGAAGATGTGGTGCGTTGCTGCTGTAAATCGCCCACATTTCCACCATGGTCTTGGCTGTCGAAAGCTCGCATTCCAGCGAAACAGCAAACGCCACTCGATCATGGTCTTAGTTGTTGCCGTTGCCGTTGTAGCCGTGCCATTGGACTTGATTCGCTCCGCGTCCACGAGCCTAATGGCACGGCCCTTGTTGCCGCTGCGTCGATCTCCTCGGTCGTCTTCCCTCTGTTTGGTCCAGCACTTTATCACCACGTGCCCCAATTTTCCGCAGAACGTACATTGACGGAATTCACGCTCGGTGCTGAAGGCCTTGGTCGCTTCTTCAGTCTTCACCAATGTCGTCGTGTTTCGTTGTCTCTTGATGTGCTCATTCGTAAGCACTCTCACGACGTCTTGCGACCGCAGTTCTGCGCTGCTCGTCTCCAAGTTGAGAGCAACGTTCTCATAGCTCTTGGGGAGACTGCACAACAAGCAGATCTCCATGTCCTCATCCTCCATCTTGGCGCCGATACTGCTGAGCTTGGCGCTGGTGTTGAAAACGTTGTTGCAATGATGCATGAAATTGCCGCCTTCCTCCATCTCCATGCTGAACAGCTGTGTTGTAACTTGAGCGCGAGGCGAAGAGAAAACGAAGCGGAGAGACCGGAGAGAACGAAGCAGAGAACACTTGCTCACTTGAGGGAGGATTCGAAAGTGATTGATTTATAGGTCTTAACTTCTGCCTACCCTAGACTGCATCCAATCACATGGTGCATCTGATCAACCTGATTTACACGCGTCCAATCATCCTACGCGTCTAATCATCTCTGAGGTAATTACCGATGTAAAAACTATCTCGTAAGAACTACGCGCTAGGTTCGGATTGTACCGGTAAACCTCAGTACGCCCCCTCAATCCGAACACGCACGGATGCCAAGCGCCGTCGTCAAGTCCTTGTGACGCGGTCCGTGAAGTCCCTTCGTCATGATGTCCGCCAACATCAACGTCGTCTCGCAGTATTCAAGCTTCACTTCGCCGCGCTTGACTTCATCACGGATGTGATGGTACTTGATGTCGATGTGTTTAGCGCGGCCGTGGTTGACCGGATTCTTCGTCATCTTGATGCACGACTGGTTGTCTTCACGGATGACGAGCTCGGGTGCTTCTTCGTTTGCAGCCGCCATGATCTCGCACAGCAAGCGATTGATCCACTTGCCTTCTTGGATCGCCAGGCTGAGCGCGATGTACTCCGCTTCGCTTGTAGACAGTGACACACTTGGCTGTTTCTTGCTGCCCCAACTCACCGGAGCACCCAATAGCATGAAGACGTAGCCGGACGTCGATTTGCGATCAGCAAGGTCACCGGCCCAGTCTGCATCTGAATAGCCACGAAAGTCGATCTTCGCACTTGGCTTGTAGCAGATTCCATGCATCTTGGTGCCTTGTAGGTATCGGAAGATGCGCTTGACTGCAACCCAGTGTTCTTCTTGGGGGTTTCTCCATGAACCGTGACACAAAGCTTACAGCATAGGCGATGTCCGGTCGCGTTGCAGTCGTCAGATGCATCAAATCACCCACTGCTTCACGGAATGGGACATCCACCTTGCTTGCAGAGTTGCTCGGAACCAGTCGAGAGCTGACGTCCACCGGACTTGCCACAGCCTTGCACTCATCCATTCCAAAGCGCTTGAGGACATCGTCGACATAACGGCGCTGACACATAGTCACGCTGCCATCTTCACCGTCCAATAACTCGATCCCAAGAACAAAGGCACACTTGCCGCTGTCCGTCATCTCGAAGCGTGTCTTGAGGTCGTTCTTGGTGCGCGCAATCATCTCGAGCGAGCTTCCGGTCACCAAGACATCGTCCACGTAGACCAGCACAAACACACAATGGCCTTCCGAAGTCATGATGTAGAGACATGGATCGAATCCCGACGCTTGAAAACCAATCGAGCGTATGAACTCGTCGAAGGTCTCGGTCCAAACACGCGAGGCTTGCTTGAGACCGTAGATCGCCTTGATCAGCTCGAGACAGTCGAAATCACCTTCCATCTTGACGCCTTCCGGAACAGCGCAGAACATCTTCTCCTTCATCACTCCATACAGGAACGCAGTCACCACATCGAGCTGGTCGAGGGGCCATCCAAAGTGCTTGGTAATGGCGATGACCATTCGCAGCGTCACATACTTGACCACGGGCGAGAACGTCTCCGTGTAGTCGATGCCATACTTTTGGCGAAAACCCTTGGCCACAAGTCGTGCCTTGTATTTCTCGATCGACCCATCCGCCTTGCGCTTGATCTTGAAGACCCACTTTGTGCCGATGGCGCTTTGTCCGTTGGGTAACTTGGCCGCACGAAAGACACCGCGAAGCTTCATCGAATCGAGCTCCGCATCAATTGCCTTGCGCCAGTGTACTTGGTCCGGGCCAGACACTGCTTCTTCAAATGCCGACGGCTCCGAAAAATCGACCGCTGCTTCGACGGCGTTTGCACTCGCGTGCCAAAACGCGGAGGAAGTCGGTGTGTCATGTTGTTCCTCCGACTTCCTTTCTTCATCTTCGTTGGCTCGACGTGAAGAGAGGTCATCCGGCGCACTTGACTCTTCCAATCCGGGTCGTTGGCGCACTGCTCGGGGCATGCTTGCGTCGTCATTGTCGTGACTGGGTTGGGCCTTGCGCTTTCCTGTTTGTTTGAAGTGTCTCGGACGCGGTTCTTCATCATCAAGATCGATCGATTCGAAGTCCAGGCCATCAACATCGTCATCGGAAATCAGCATCAACAGTCCAAAGGCCGACTCATCGAAGTTGACATCGCGACTTATCATCACCTGCCCCGCTTCGATGTCGTAAACTCGATACGCCTTGGACACTTCTTCGTAGCCCAAAAACAATCCAGCCCGGGCCTTGGGATCCCACTTGAGTCGTTTCTCCTTCGGGGTCAAGACGTATGCTTGGTGATGAACTTTAGACTTCTTGGTCCGAGTGCAAAACGCAAAGTGAATATATATTTATAATAGGTACTTAGTTCGCAACTTTGAATACTACCTCTAAGCCTATTATTCGCAGTGACGTCATCCAGTGACGTCACCCACTGACGTCACCCACTGACGTCATGCAATGACGTCATCCAGTGACGTCATTTCCTGACTTCGCCCTTACTGGTACATACCGGTACCCACCGGTATAGCGAAGCTTGGTCTTCCACTTGCTTCAACACTTGACGCAGCTTGACGAGGTGTCTTCTTCACAGCCGCTGTCTTTTCAACACTCCCTCTCGACTCGTTAGCTGCGGCACCTTGGATCCCAAGTCGATCGCGAATGTTTTCAAATTGTACAGCGGCGATCGGCTTGGTCATCATGTCTGCCAGCATATCTTGAGTCGGGCAATACTCCAAAACGACTTCACCTGATTCCACCTTCTCACGCACAAAATGGTAGCGTATGTCGATGTGTTTTGTTCTCTTATGGAACTCCGGGTTCTTGGCGAGAGCGATTGATCCTTGGTTGTCTTCATACATCTTGATCGCTTCGTCGCTTGTCATCTCACCAAGTTCCCCCAAAAGCACCTTGAGCCATACTGCTTCTTTGGTTGCTTCGAAAGCGCCATGTATTCTGCTTCTGTTGAAGATAGCGCGACCGTCCGTTGTTTCTGGCTTTTCCAGCTGATGCATCCTCCGCTCATCATGAACACATAGCCGCTTGTACTTCGTCTTGACTCAATGTCGCCGGCCCAGTCTGCGTCGGTGTACCCGCAGATACGGCTTCCTTCTTCACGTGTAAACTCAAGACCATGATTGGGCGTTGCTTGCAGGTATCTCAGCACACGCTTCAAAGCTTGCCAGTGAGTCGGGCATGGGTCGGACGAGAACTGGGATAATGATCCCACTGCAGCAGCTAGATCCGGACGTGTGGCGACCATGAGATACATGATGCCTCCGACAGCACTTCGATATGGCACGTTGCACATGGTGTCTTCGTGCTTGCATTCTTGTTCACACATGTTCTTGGTTAGCTTCAGGCCGGGATCTTGAGGCGTCTTCACTGGCTTGCTGTTATCCATTCCGAACTTGGTTAACACGGACTTGAGAAACTTGGTTTGTTGTACAGTCACCATTCCCGTCTTACGGTCGTTCTTGATCTCCATGCCGAGAAAGTAATCGAGCTCACCGAGATCCGTCATTTCGAAGCGTTTGCTCAGCGCCATCTTGGTCGACTTGAGGAGTTCGTTGTTGCTGCTGGCCAGGATGAGATCATCGACGTAGAGCACCACGAGAATCATGTCTTGGTCGTCTCGCTTGATGTAGATGCAGTGGTCCGATTCGCACTTCTTGAATCCCATCTTGATCATGAACCCATCGATTGTTTGGTTCCACATGCGAGGCGATTGCTTCAAGCCGTAGAGTGATCTCTTTAGCTTGCACACATAGTCCGGCTGTGTTGCATCCAGGTATCCGTCCGGCTGGTCCATGTAGATGTCTTCGTTGAGGGAGCCGTTAAGAAACGCTGTCTTGACGTCCATCTGATGTAGCATTAGGCCGTACTTAGCCGCCATACTGAGCACCACACGAATCGATGTGAACTTGGCCACCGGTGCGAAAGTTTCTTCATAGTCAACTCCGAATTTCTGTGAGAATCCTTTGGCCACAAGTCTTGCCTTGAAACGTTCAACTTCGCCATCTTGATTCTCCTTTACACGAAAAACCCATCGGCACCCGATGGCCTTGCGACCTTTCGGAAGAGGCACGATTTCCCACGTGTCGTTTCTCTGAAGCGAATCGAGCCTCGAGTCACACGCTTCTTTCCACTTGCCGGAGTCGCTTGATTCCATCGCCGACTTGAATGTAGTCGGCGTTTCCCCCACTGAATTAACGATGTAGGCTGCTTCAAAATCCATCGCAGCCGCTGACACATGCTTAAGCGACGGACCTCTGTACGTTCTTCGCTTGGGACTTGAATGACGGTAGCTTTCTCAAGTGATTGAGTGCGCGTGTGTCTCTTGATGTTGCTCTTCGAAGACCTGGTGTCTTCGTTGTCATCGTCGCTCGAGTCCATGTCGTCGTCAGTTTTACCTTCTTCTTTTTCTTCGTCCTCATCATGATCATCAAACTCAACGACACTTGACTCATCGTTGTAGTTGCGCGGACCTTCATCAAACTTGTCTTCCATGAATGTGGCATCGCGACTGATCTTGATCGCTCCTGTTGACACTTCCTCAAATCGATATGACTTCTGGTGTTCGGCGTATCCCAGGAAACGACAGAGTGATGACTTGGAGTCGAACTTCGCGCGTTTGTCTTGAGGCACTTGAACATACGCGTGGCATCCAAACACTTTAAGGTTGGCCAGAATCGGTTTCTTCATCGTCCACACTTGATATGGAGACTTGTCTTGGTGAATGGCACGTGTTGGACAGCGGTTTCGGAAGAAACATCGCCGTCATCACTGCTTCACCCCAGTAGCTCTTTCCCAGTCCAGCGTGTTCCATCATGCAACGCGCACACTCGACCAGCGTGCGATTCATTCTCTCAGCTACTCCGTTTAGCTGAGGAGTATATGGGGGTGTGAACCTTTGTTGTATTCCCCGTTCCGCGCAGAATCGTGCCAGCTTGTCGGACTTGTATTCACCCCCATTGTCGCTTTGAAGGTACTTCACGCGCTTTCCGGTTTGCGTTTCGGCCATCGCAGCGTATTCCATGAACTTCGCCGCAACTTCAGATTTGCTCTTGAGCAGATAGACGACACAGTATCTTGACTTGTCATCGATGAATGTCACGAAGTACCGTTTTCCACTGAAAGTTGCCATCGACATCGGTCCGCATACGTCGCTGTGAATCACTTCGAGGAGTTTGGAGGTGCGAGCTGTAGTGTTTGATTGGAAGCGCACTCGAGTCTGTTTTCCCAGAGCACAACCTTCACACACGTCCCACTTCTTCACCGAAGATATGTCGATGCCAATTCCAATGTTCTTCGTCACGATGCAATTGAGTCCATCGTGACCTATGTGGCCCAAGCCGA